TGGCCGAAGCCGCCGCTGGGACCGTCGCGGCGAATGCCGTTCCACGAACCCCAACCGTTGAAGATGGGGCAGCAGGACGGATCTCATCGACATGGGTTGCTGTGGGTGATGTCGCAAGTGAGGCTGCTGGCTGCTGCTGCTGTTGCTGCTGCGACGGTGACCGCTTGGGTTCTTGCGATGCCGCGGGCGGTGAAACTACGACAAAGCAGTACGGTCCGATCTGCCGCATTGCTACACTTCTACCGTACCCGGCCTCCATGAGATCCAGCTCTGCGCGTTTCCGCGCTACTGCAGTTGCTACACGTGATGTCGTGAGTCGCGGGGGAGAATGAGTCGCGGTGTGTGTAACTGCGTTGAGAGAAGCTATGTTGGCGAGGGCTTTTACCGGCAGAGACGCCGCAAACGAACCGGCAGCAGCCCCCGCCCCCTTCTCGCCAACAAACACGCCACCACTCACCTGTCCAAGCACATCGCCCATGGAACCGGCCGCCAGCTGCTGTTGCCGCGGCTGCTGCTGAAATCCGCCAGCGTTGCCATACACCACGCCTGGCTGCTGCTGTTGCTGCTGCAGCGGGAGCACAGATCCGCCGCATAAGCCACCGTTTCTCCGGTGCTGAAACGGTCTGCGGGCGAGGTTCAACGTGCAGTACTGATGTACTGACCTTTCTCTCCATAGCAGCTGCATTGGTGCTGCTGCTCGGGAGGGGGAGCAGCGGGAAGGCGTCGGCGTTCGTTGGGCACCAGCCATTGCTGATGCTGGTACCAGCTGCGCGCTGTAAGGACGCGGTTGTGGCGGCTGCTCTGCTGCTGCACTACTCTCGTCACTTGCTTCTGGTGTCCACCGTGCACACATGGGGCTTCTCCCCCTCTCTCTGAAAAATATTGATTTGGGTCGATCCTTCCGTCCTTGTCTAAAAATAATCTCCCGGATCCACAGCCGGGCCTACCCCCGGCATGTACACCTCCTCCAGCTGCCCACCCAGCTTCACCACCTGCTGCCTTCCCAGCAATCTCTAACGCAGAGATCTTGCCCATCGCTCGTTGGACTTCTTCCTCAATTCCTCTACCGCCCTCGCCGCGGCTGCTGCCCTCTACGCAGCTGCTGCCGTGTGTGCAGCATGTTCATCCGACACCGGTCGAACTTATCCGATAAATTAATCGTGTTTGTGTACCCCCGTGACCACCCACGGAGGTTGCCGTGCCCACCCACGGAGGATACCGTGCCCACCCACGGTATGATGTCTGTCTGGGGACTATGTTGACCCAGAGGACCGATGCAGATGACGTATATCCTTGATTAACACACACGTGCTCTTCCAGCACAGAATACACAGTATCTCTCGCAGGCATAGTGAACACATGCGCGGGCTCTCACGAGGGGCCCCGCACTTGGAACCCCCAGCAGTATACCCCCCCCCCACATGTTCTCTGCAGATCGGACCTTGTATCCAAGTACCCCAAACACAGCCGAACATTCGACAAAAATACGTCTCATCGTCTTCGTTGGATAAAACGAAGTTTGTTTGGATTGCCGAACGCCGCGTGCCAAATGGTGTTTTCGAAGTTCGATGGATTGTGGAGTTTTCATTTTTTCGTCGTGGATCCCTACGCCGACTGCACGATATTCCACCCGGGCGTACACTACATAGACTAAATACCACATTTATTGACCGGATCCCTCGTATTACGTTTGGCTTACTACCCCACCTCAACTGCCTGCACTCCTCCCGTGCGCCTGCGTCGTATCCTCCCTCATTCCCAATCCCTTCGCCTTGCAGCCTCACCCCCGCCCCCATCTCAATGCCACTAGTCTAGTCAACAACCCAACAGACAAACCCGCGCTTTGAACCTGTTTCAACAAAACTACAAGCACCCGAACAGAAAACGTTGCAAGCCGGGGCACAAGGACGCTAGTTCGGGCACCCACCCACCGTGTTGTATGCCCGGGCGGGAGCCCCCTTCCCGTTGGCAAGGCAAAGGGCGCCTTCTCAACAGCTACCTAAATTGACCCTCATGTACGATTGAAGTGCCTTGTTGGGCTTTCATCTCCCTTGCTAATGGATCGACCACCTATTTTCCCTAACCTAGTCGCTCCTCCTATCCTCCCAGAGTCCGGCGCAATCACCTCCGGTTTTCGTCCTTGATCAGCCAGAAGAACCCGCAGCGCCATCACCGGCTGACCACCCGTCCACACTGAAGAGTGCGCGGGAAATAGGCGCAATCTCATCAAGTGTTGTTGCGGATACAGCACAAATCAGTTCGAGTAACAAACTTTTGAAACCCGCTCTTACTCACTGGTACATCACCAGTCCCTTTCCACTTCCAGTCGAGGTTGGCGACCCCAGGGCATGTATTACACTCGCGACGCTACAGCTCTGTCATGATTTTCCTTTGACGCCTCAATGGGCACCTTTTTTCTATCCGCGCAGCGCTATAGTGTCGGCGTGGACAACTACGTCTCCCCTGTCCATAACGCAACATTGTCCCATCGAAATACAAAACTCCTTGAGAGTCTTGCCGTTTCGACGTATACAACAAGACTCTCGATGGGCGGCATTTGGAGAAGTGCGACACGGGCAAGCCTAGCCAACGTACCCTTCCACCCTTGCCCCGCGCTGTTGCCTTTCCGAAGGATAGATGGTCCACAAAATGGGACGCCTGATCCTACTAACTGTGTGCAGCTTACACTCCCTCGTCAGACCCGCTTTGACGGCTCGATAACACTGATGGTTTCATGGGAAGGCCCACCGCGATACCGTTACGGAAGCTTGTGACCGCGACTATCTTCCCCGCTAACGAAGACGCCAAAATGTCACGACAGAAGAACAGGAAGGGCATGTACTTCGCCAACTACAGTACTCCAGTTGGTCGTTTGTTCTTCCCCCGGT